CATCAGACCGGAACAAAATTCGAACTTGGTCTGTAACTTGTCATGATAAAACTATATACCAAATATCAAATCAATATCTTCAAGCGTTTTACCCCTATGTTCTATTTTTAGCCATGGTGGCCATGTTTCTTGATGAAAATGAATAAAAATCACAAAATTTATACTAGATACCCTAAGGATCATTTTTCTTGGGTTTGGTTGAAATTAGTTCAGCAGTTTCAGAGAAGAAGATCTTTGAAAAAGTTTACAACAGACAACGACAGATGCCAAGTGATGGCAAAAGCTTACATGTCCTTTTAGGCCAGGTGAACTAAAAAGTGAAATCAGAACTTTTAATTTTCTCAACTTGTCAATTTTGTAAACCACTGTAAAGACATTTTCGGGTTCTGATTTGTATTTTTGAAGCTAATGTCCCTACATGCTTATGTAAAATACATAAAAAAAGTCTATCAAGCAAATAAAACAAGTGAAACTGCGAGCTACTGCTCACTGATGATACCCCCGCCGCAAGTGGATAATATTAATAGTGTAAAAATATGCAAGTGTTCGGTAAACAGGAAGTTGTCGAGTGATGAATCTGAAAACACATCACACGGTAAAGCTGACTTATATAAATCCTGAAACCAAATTTCAGAAATCCTTGTATTGTAGTTCCTGAGAAAAATGTGACGAAAATTTTCAACTTGGCTATCATGTGTAAAATCATACAAGTGTTCGGTAAACAGGAAGTTGTCAAGTGATCAATCTGAAAACGCATCACACGGTATAGCTGACTTAGATAAACCCTGAAACCAAATTTCAGAAATCCTTGTATTGTAGTTCCTGAGAAAAATGCAACGAAAAATATTCATGGGACGGACGGACTGACTGACGGACTGACGGAAGGACAGACAGAGGTAAAACAGTATACCCCCCCTTTTTTAAAGCGGGGGTATAAATATTTGAATGCAACTGAAATAAGTTAATAAGATATGGAGGAACTGTGAGTGTCCTTACTGCAATACGCCTTTGTAATGAAATTGAGTCTACTTATATCATTATGATCATGTTATTAATGATTTTATTATATCAAATTTCATATATTCATATATATATAAATATATGCCAATAAATTGCATGTACATTGAGATAACATTATTGTTTAAAAACTTCAAAGTAGAAAAATAATGCAATGGACTGACATGGATTGATACTTGATAAGTAAAATAAAAATTATATATAAATACAATGTTTGACGACAGAATCAACATTAAAAAAATTCCAACAAATATTATCAAATAAAAGCTGAAATACAATGAAATAATAAAATCATTGTTTTAAACATAGTCGTTAAAAACAGGTTCAATATAAATTATAACAGTGTGTATACACCTTTTGTTTATGTATTTACATGTGATTAAATTCATGAAATTTTTTAATTTAAACTATACAACATACTACCATTTTTCAAACTTAAAGAAGTCTGTAATATCTGATAAGGTACAAAATAAATCCAGAAATTCACATGTTGATGGAAATGACATCAATGATTATTTACAACTGGCACCATTTTGTCATCAATATATGAATTCAGTGTATGTAATTGTGTACTTTTCATGAACAAAATTATTTTGATTTTCTAAACTACATCTACTGAAAATCTACCTCAATTTGGCAAAAATCTTGCTTTGAAAAGATTTTATAAAATATCACCATAGAATGTTGAATGATCAGATTTGGAAAATAAAAGGCTATGTAATATGTGTCCTTTTTTAAGAAAAAAGTAGTATGAGAGTCATCCTGAAGAGAAAATCAAAGGATAATAAAATACATTTTTTAAAAGAAGTCACTGAACAATGAAAATGAGGAAAAAAACAATGGGCATATATGCCAGATGGAGATTTAGACCATAACTTGCATAAGACATCTGTATACCAAGCTCCTATTCCTTCTGAAATACAAAGCTTTATTACAAGGAGCTAACATCACTTCTACCAAATTTTCATCCCAATGTATCGCATTGGCAGAACAAACATAAATCATTTATTATTATAGAAAATATGTAAGTGTTATGCAAAATTACAAGCTAACAACCTCGACATGTGGTTTCCTGAAGATGAACCAGGCTTAGTGAAAAGTTCAAAACACAATATTTTATAAGAATTTTTACCCTAAAAAAATCAGACCTACATTTGTACTTACCAGGGTATACTATAATTTTTAGGAGAGTTTGTTTGGCTTTTCTTCATATGAAAGAGATAGACTTATAACTTTAAAGAACCTTTAGTGAGCCAGCTCACATACCCCATGCCCAAGATAAAGAGGAAAAGCTAATATTGACCTGATGGCAGTTTTTTTCTTCTTTGCATTAAAATATGATTTTGGTTTATGATTTCAGACAGTAATATTGTGTTACACAATTCCATATTTATTAACTTTGACCTTGGTGACTTACAAATCAATAGGGATCTTCCTCTTATTATATGTGACCATATATCCAAGTTAGGTTGCAATCCCATATACCGGTATATGAAGCATCCTGAAACTTCTTTTCTGCACAAATTTCAGAATTTCTGTAGTAACTATGACCTTGACTTTAGACATAGTAACCTCAAAATCAACAGAGACCTTACTCTCATTATATGCGACCATATATCAAAGTATGGTTGCAATCAGGCCTGGGGCCATTACATTGCAATGTAAAAAGAAATTGATAAATATTAGCAGGGTATATGTACATATATATATAGTGTTAGAGCATAGATTTCAAATACTGGTTAATCAACATGTCCATTGCACTTTATCATCATAAGTGTTTCAAACGTGCTGTCATTAAGAGAACAGCGATCAGGTCTGTACACCTTTCTAGCATTACTAAAAAGCCTTTCTAAAGGAGTTGATGTGGAGGAAATGGCTAAATACTTGATAGATGTATTAGCCAAAGAAGAAAGGTGCACTGAATTTGACATCAAGTATTCCAGTGGATTGATTGACATTTCTTTACATGGCTCAGACAAGTAAATGTCAACATCATGTACTGCACCAGACCTGTGTCTTCTCTGTGATGGAGTAGTAGGAGGCATGAAACTGAAAAAGTCACTTTCAAGTTTCTTAGGTGGTGGTGAAAAATAAATAAATTATCATATAATTTCGTTTCTAACATTGCTCACTTAATTATTAAGACATCATAAAGGGATTTCAAAGGAATATAATAAATGTGTCATTAAAAGATTATCTTGTTAAATGCCTAAGGGCTCAGGACAAATATAAGTTGAGAAGATTTGATTACAATAAAAACAATTTGATATTAATCAGGACACAAATTACAGTTTGGTGTAAAAATGTCGATTGACATATTCAATCTTTCATTGAAATACCTGCAAGGTGTGTATGGAATAATGAAATTTCATCTCCATATTTTTTCTATTCATAAATATAATTTTGTTTTATAATTTTTTTAGAAGATTTTTCATGGACTACCAAAATATTCCTAATATCATTTATACAAATATCAGAAACAAAGATCAAGACTTGATAATTAACACCCCCCCCCCCCCCCTTTTGCCAATTAAAGAAGTTTTTATATTTCTTACCTTTATCTGTATTTTAAAGTTTGATGCAATTTATTTAATACAGTAATTAACTGTGACAATAATTTTATTCAATACTTTCTTTTGTTTTTGTTAATATTTTATTTATTTTATTTTTATTTTACAATATTCTGCAATTTTATTTATTTAACCAATTTGTAATGAAAAGTAATGTACAGTAATGGAGGCATTACATTGATTTTTAACAAAAGTAATCATTACATTACAATACATGTAATTGTAATGCAGAAAATGTGCATTACAAATTACTTTACATTACATAAAAAAAAATGTAATATTACAAGCATTACAATTACAAATTGCCAAATGACGATACTGAATGACGGACAGCACAAACATTATATACCCCTGCTACTTTGTTGTATGGGATCTAAAAAAAAATTATAGATCACTTAAACTATCTACAAGGGCTACAGGAATAACTTCTGTAGCCAGAAATATGACACTTGGCATTGTGGTTTTAATGTGTTATGCAACAATTAACCAACTTTTATAACGTTATCACATTTAAAAAAAAATCAAGTTTATCATATTTTTTTTTAATATCAACATTCTCCCCCTGAAAAATTCCATTCTGTCAATTTAAATGAATTCTAACACCATTTAACTATCAGTATATGAAGACAGAAATAAAGATTGCTTTGATGAGTCATTTTCTTTAGCATATATATGTTTAACGGTAAATCTAAATAATTATTAAAACCACTTTTTAAAAATGAGAAAGTCATGAAATTTTCTGTAATAAACAGTTCAAAAGAAACAAATCTTTTGTAACACAATCCATCTTAATAGAACACATTTTTAACTCTTTTTTGGGACGAAAATCAAATTTCACAAATTATGTTTTATACCTTTTGACATGTGTTGGAATTATCAACTTCATAAAACTTTTTAATGAGTAAAAATGAGTTGTCAATGATCAGACAAAAAGATGTTTCTCTGTGCCACTTTTAATACCAAGGCTGCTACAGAAGATTTTCAGACAGGAGTTTTTAATATTTTTGTAATGGAAAGTACAAATTGGTCATGTTGGTGGTCCTTAACTTTTTTTGCTGAAAATATAATATGGATGTAAATATAAAAATAAGGAGATGTGGTATGATTGCCAATGATATATAAAAAAGAAGATGTGGTATGATTGCCAATGAGACAACTTTCCACAAAAGACCAAAATGACACAGACATTAACAACTATAGGTCACCGTACAGCCTTCAACAATGAGCAAAGCCCATACCGCATAGTCAGCTATAAAAGGCCCTGATAAGACAATGTAAAACAATTCAAACAAGAAAACTAACGGCCTTATTTATGTAAAAATAATGAACGAAAAACAAATATGTAACACATAAACAAACGACAACCACTGAATTACAGGCTCCTGATTTGGGACAGGCACATACATTCATTAATAATGTGGTGGTGTTAAACATGTTAGACAACTATCCACCAGAGTTCAAATGAAATAAAATTGAGAATGGAAATGGGGAATGTGTCAAAGAGACAACAACCTGACCATAGAAAAAAACAACAGCAGAAGGTCACCAACAGGTCTTCAATGTAGCGAGAAATTCCCACACCCGGAGGCGTCCTTCAGCTGCCCCCTAAACATAATATTTACTAGTTCAGTAATAATGAACGCCATACATGTAAGCAATTATACCATAAATGTAGATTTGTCATTTTTCTTCATCATTACTGCATGTACTGGGTAGAGACTTTTGTTTTAATGGAACACTAGGAACATCCAATTCCAATTCCATCTCCTTTAATGGGAGAAATTTTTTTTGCATAGAAATTGTTTTTTCAATCAAATGTAAGCGTTTTGGAGCAATACGACCTAAAAAATCACATGTTCCTTTTAAACTTTTAATCTCATCTACTAAAAGTTTAGGCTTTAAGGTAAAATGATTCAATGTCATCCAAATTTTTAAAATGTTTGATAAATTTAATGTTTCACCCTCTGCACTAAATTTATTCTTATTCCAAATAGGAATAGGATCTCCTTTATTTCTTAACAGGATGTCATTCTGTGTATCATACATATAAATATCAAAGTAGTCAGAACTTGCAACAATAGTAGGAATTAAAAAAGCTTGAGGAAGTGTTTTGCCTTTTTCTCTCTGACGTACCCTCTGGTACATTGAATAAGTAATTGTCTGTGCAACAACTTGCTCAATGTTTTCCTTTTTTCGTAATGTTGATGATTTCAAATCAATTTCAATTATCTGATTTTCTGCTTGGTCTACATCAAACTCTCTGTCATCTGCACTGCAGTCTTCTGGATATATAATATTACAGCCACCTCCTGCCATAGTGAACAACATGATGTCTGGTCTTCCATACCATAAATATTCACTCCCTTAAATAACATAAACAATGAATTAGAATGATTAGAATTTAAATAATCAATTCTAATCTTGGCAGCTGTGCGGAAAAATTCAAATTTAAAAGCGGCAGAAGAATTACATTTCGCTTTCTTTAGTAAACAAGAGGCTCTCAAGAGCCTGAATCGCTCACCTGAATTTTTTTGCTCAATTCATTCATCAATCATGATTTATATATTTGCTTTTTAATGTATATCGGGTGTTTGCTTAAAAATGCCACTTAAAAATTCTTTGTTTTGGTCATATTTGCTTCAAAATTAAAAAAAATATTTGTCTGCAATCTCACTGCAGATACATGTAGATTTTAAATTGTTGATCATATTTATTCTGTAAGTTTTGTCCTTGGTGCTTAAGAGATGAAATATAAAAACTGCATTTTACTACTATGTTCTTTCTTGGCAATACATGCAATAGCAGCCATGTTTTTCAATGCATTATATTCAAGATATAATTTCTAAGCTAAATACTGAATAGAAATTCAAGGTATAATTTCAAACAAGAGTGGACATGGATAGTATCTGTAAGCATTCTGAGATTATTGCATAGAAATGTGAGTCAATTCACTCAAGGATCCCACATCTCATAATTAGTTCAATTATTTCTCTTGAAATATTTCAGACCAGGATTTTTAATTATGCACATCAGCAGGTTGTGTACTATATGTGGAGTTTCATCAATATCAATTGAGCTGTTAAGGAGTTGTGCTTCTGAGAACTGTTGCCACATGTTGTAATAAACTAAGTGCATGCAAGTTCAAATATCTCCCTAGAAATACTTTGGACCAGGATTATTCTCGTTTATGGACATGTACATACTCAGGTTTTGTACTGCAACTGTATTAAGTTTCATTTGTATCTGTCAATACATTAAGGAGGAGTTTCACTTACAAGAAATATGGACAAAGGGACAGACAGGGTGATTCCTACATTGTATATATAATTCTTAAAAATGTGTTTGTTGAGGTATAATTATTTTTGCCATTTCATTTCTGAGGGTGATTTTTTAAATTTTTCTGCTGTCCAATAATTGATCCTAGAAAAAAAACTGTAGATATCAATTGTTTTAATTGATCTGCATAAATCAAGTTGTTACATGTAGTTGTGTTACTTGAATGCAACTCTTTGGCTGACAACTATCTCTATAGTACCGAAAAAAAGACCAAATCAGAGAAGTTTAACATCAACCAATGAACCATGAAAAATAAGGTCAAGGTCAGATGAAACCTGCCAGACAATTATACACCTTAAAATCATTCCATGAACCAAATATAGTTCCGGATACCTTATAGTACATGTTTTGTATCTAAAAAACAGACCAAACAATAATAAAATGCTTCGCTGGGGCACAGCTTGATATGACCACAGAGGTCGAACCCTGAACAGTTGGGGCAAGTATGGACACAACATTCACAAGCTTGATACAGCTCTGAATTTGGATTGTTATTAAATATTTGACACAGCATAGGTTTCTGACACAGAAAGAATGTGGTCTAAGAACTTGAATTTTTTTAATTTACCTATTATGGTCCAATGTCCAAAATCAAAAAATACATGGTTAGATTCAGCATATCAAAGAACCCCATATATTCAATTTTTGTTAAAATCAAACAAAGTTTAATTTTGGACCCCAACTTGGACAAACTTGAAAACTGGGCCCATAATCAAAAATCTAAACACATGTTTAGATTCAGCATATCAAATAACCCCAAGAATTCAATTTTTGCTAAAATCAAACTAAGTTTAATTTTGGACCCTTTGGACCTTAATGTAGACCAAGTATAAAAACGGGACTTAAAATTAAAAATCTAAATACACGGTTAGATTTGGAATATCAAAGAACCCCAATAATTCAATTTTTGATGAAATCAAACAAAGTTTAATTTTGGACCCTTTTGACCTCAATATGAACCAATTTGATAGCAGGGCCCAAAAATAAAAAATCTAAATTGATGGTTAGATTCAGCATATCAAAGAACCCCATATATTCAATTTTTGTTGAAATCAAAAAAAGTTTAATTTTGGACCCCAACTTGGACCAACTTGAAAACTGGGCCCATAATCAAAAATCTAAACACATGTTTAGATTTAGCATATCAAAGAACCCCAAGAATTCAATTTTTGTTAAAATCAAACTAAGTTTAATTTTGGACCCTTTGGACCTCAATGAAGACCAATTTAAAAAATGGGACCCAAATTAAAAATCTAAAAACACGGTTAGATTTGGCATATCAAAGAACCCCAATAATTCAATTTTTGATGAAATCAAACAAAGTTTAATTTTGGACCCTTTTGACCTCAATATGAACCAATTTGATAGCGGGGCCTACAAATAAAAAAATCAAAATACATGGTTAGATTCAGCATATCAAAGAACCTCATATATTCAATTTTTGTTGAAATCAAACAAAGTTTAATTTTGGACCCCAATTTGGACCAACTTGAAAACTGGGCCCATAATCAAAAATCTAAACACATGTTTAGATTCAGCATATCAAAGAACCCCAAGAATTCATTTTTTGTTAAAATCAAACTAAGTTTAATTTTGGACCCTTTGGACCTTAATGTAGACCAATTTAAATAAAATGCTCCGCAGGGCGCAGCTTGATACGACGGCAGAGGTCGAACCCTGAACAGTTGGGGCAAGTATGGACACAACATTCAAGCTTGATACAGCTTTGCATTTGGATTGTGATTAAATATTTGACACAGCATAGGTTTCTGACACAGAATGAATGTGGTCTAAGAACTTAAAAATTTTAAATTGGACATTCACCTATTATGGTCTAATATCCAAAATCTAAATAAATGGTTAGATTCAGCATATCAAAGAACCCCAAGAATTCAATTTTTGATGAAATCAAACAAAGTTTAATTTTGGACCCTTTTGACCTCAATGTGGACAAAGTTGATAACAGGGCCCAAAAATCAAAAATCTAAATACATGGTTAGATTCAGCATATCAAAGAACCCCATATATTCAATTTTTGTTGAAATCAAACAAAGTTTAATTTTGGACCCCGATTTGGACCAACTTGAAAACTGGGCCCATAATCAAAAAACTTAATACGTGTTTAGATTCAGCATATCAAAGAACCCTAAGAATTCAATTTTTGTTAAAATCAAACTAAGTTTTATTTTGGACCCTTTGGACCTTAATGTAGACCAATTTGAAAACGGAACCAAAAATTAAGAATCTAAATACACGGTTAGATTCGGCATATCAAAGAACCCAAATAATTCAATTTTTGATGAAATCAAACAAAGTTTAATTTTGGACCCTTTGGACCTCAATGTGGACCAATTTAAAAACGGGGCCCAAAATCGAAAATCTAAATACAAGGTTAGATTCAGCATATTAAAGAACCCCAAGAATTCAAGAATAAAACCCCATTGAAATTGGTCAAGAAATAAGCAATTTATACGAAGTATCTTCTTTTGCACAATACTGTGCAATTAAATATTTCTTGCTATTGCGCAATACTGTACAATTGACAATTTCTTGCTATTGCGCAATATTGTGCTATTGGATATTTCTTGCTATTGCGCAATACTGTGCAATTGAAGATTTCTTGCTATTGCGCAATACTGTGCAATTGAAGATTTCTTGCTATTGTGCAATACTGTGCAATTGAAAATTTCTTGCTATTGCACAATACTTATTATATAATAATTTACACATCCTGTTTGGTGTGTATCTCCTACCATATCATTATTATTTGCTTTTAAATATAAATCAGAAATAACCAACTTAAAATGGAAAATTTTAAAAGAAAAAAAAAAAGGAAAAAAAAAAATCCCCCCCCAAATTTTTTGAACCCCCTTATGATTATTCACCCCCAAACTTAATCCTCACCTTCCCTTTGTGGTATGGTACCTTGCAGTACAATTTCAGAGAGATCCATACACTTGAACATAAGTTATTGTCTGGAAACTAGAAAAATGTGTTTTTTGGCCCCTTTTTGGCCCCAAATTCCTAAACGTTTAGGGCAATTACCCCCAAACTCAAACCCAGCTTTCCCTTTGTGATATGGAACCTTGTAGTACAATTTCAGAAAGATCCATACACTTACACACAAGTTATTGTCCTGAAACTAGAAAAATGCTTGTTTTTTGCCCCTTTTTGGCCCCTAATTCCTAAAATATTGAGGCAATTACCCCCATCATCAATCCCAGCCTTCCCTTTGTGGTATGGTACCTTGCAGTACAATTTCAGAGAGATCCATACACTTGAACACAAGTTATTGTCTGGACACTAAAAAAATGCTTATTTTTGGCCCCTTTTTTGCCCCCAATTCCTAAACGTTTCGGCAATTACCCCCAAACTCAATTCCAGCTTTTCCTTTATGATATGGAACCCTGAAGTACAATTTCAGAAAGATCCATACACTTACACACAAGTTATTGTCACGAAACTAGAAAAATGCTTGTTTTTTGCCCCTTTTTTGGCCCCTAATTCCTAAAATTTTGAGGCAATTACCCCCAAAATCAATCCCAGCATTCCTTTTGTGATATGGAACCTTGTGGTACAATGTCAGAGAGATCCATACACTAACACACAAGTTATGTCTGGAAGTTACAAAAATGCTTATTTTTGGCCCCTTTTTGGCCCCTAATTCCTTTACTGTTGGTACCATAACCTCCAAAATCAATCCCAACCTTCCTTTTGTGGTATTGAACCTTGTGGTAAAATTTCATAGAGATCCATTCACTTAAACTAAAGTTAGAGTGCGAAAACCAATGTGTCTTCGTACGACGCTGGACGACGCCAGACGACGACGACGACGCCAACGTCATACCAATATACGACCACAAAATTTTTTTTGCGGTCGTATAAAAAGGAAAAAAAGGAAAAAAAGGAAAAAAAAAAAAACCTCCCCCAAATTTTTTTAACCCCCTTATGATTCATCACCCCCAAACTCAATCCCAGCCTTCCCTTTGTGGTATGGTACCTTGCAGTACAATTTCAGAGAGATCCA